GGCTCAGAGCTTCAAAAGAGCTTTCTTTGTTTTTGTAGGTAGCTTTGATCATTAGAGTAAGAGTGCTTTGATCTTTTGTTTAAATCACTGCTATGTCACCTACTAGAGGTAATGTTTTGATTGGTTAAACACTTTTGGTACTAGTGCATATAAGCTTGCTAAGATGGATAATTTTTTCATTCCTGATGATGACATAATTAATGTCGAAATATTGAATCCCAACACGATGGCGTGTATTTCAATACTTGGAGTATGTATTATACTTTCTTACATGTTATAAACAATGCAAATAAACAGTAGTTAAAGCATGTGGATCAATTGTGTGTTACAGAATTTGATTATTGGGGAGATTCCTTTTAAAAACTAAATTAGTTAAGATAAAAAAATGCATATAATGACTCAAGAAAATCAGTTTTAATTCAGAATTTGATTATCTACAGAAAAAAATTGATTATTTGTTTATTATTTAGCAACATAACTACAGCAGACCACAGCATAAATCTAAGCTAATACAGTACATTTAAAAAATTAGCCCATGAAATTTGGAAAAAATTAGGAGGGCAAAAATTTGCCAACCTTAAATTCTCCGAGGTCGGCAATTTCTTACTACCTTGGCCTATATAATAAACTATGATTTTTCCCGAATGCTCGACATTACATCGTCATCTACAGATCGTGATTTTGTTAATTTCTCTATTAAATCAATATATTGCTGGTGAAAGAATGGTTGTACTTGTATAAATATAATAGTGTAGTATAATACATATGTTTTACATATAGTCTAGGACCTGACTAAGATTTGTATGCACTTCATTTAGGAGAGAATTTCTCAACTGTTATAGACTAATATGAACCCTAGGAATAACATGGGATGTGTGCCAAAATCTTATTAAATTAAATCTTATTATATTAAATGACCACGCCCCCTTTTTATAGGGTAGGGGTATTTTGAAATTAAGCTAGACAGTATAAGAAAATAGCAAATGAAGGGGGTTTTGTTCTAAATGAGCACACATGACAAGGGAATTAAATTCCTAAAATTACGTCTCTGTCACATTTTCCGTTCATTAAAAATTAGCTTGAATATGCAAATTAGGAGTGAAAAAACAGGGTTCCCATGTGCTGAGAACCGCTGGTCGTAGCCGAGTTCCTTTCTTTTTTAAATTGTTCAGACCATGCATATTTCTATTTGCTTTAATGTGACATTTGATTAAAAAATGACCGGAAATGCCATATTTGACCTTTAACCTTATTTGCAAATTTTCCATATTCTCACGACTACTGAGAGTAAAAAGTTGGTTTTGGTCTCAAACTACGCATATTCATGTTCCAATTCACTGTAATTCACTCAGACATTTGCGCAAACTACGTTCCTGACCTTTGACCCTGCAGGACAATTTGCAGCTGCAATATTATAACAACAGTTGGAGAGTGTTGATTTTAGTATAAATTGTCTAGAAGGTAAAATTTTATATCAATCTTGGCAGATTATCAGAAAATGATGAGCAATATTTTATTTTTAATTACACTATCAACAAATGCTATCATTAGGATTAGTAATGGAAAATATATTTTTTTTTTAAACTTATTACATCCTCTAATAGGCAACAGAATGTGAGTAGTTTATTAATTATATATAAATTTTATTT